ATAAATGAGAAAATTTTCAGAAAAATAAATGAGTGCTTTTTATAAGAAACTGTTGAACTAAGACAGATGGTAAGCTATTAAAATTGTTAGATTAGGAAATTATTCAAAAACTTTCCAATTTGAACTCTTTTTATTGTCAGTATCTACATAAGCTTACAAAAGCTATCATTTTTTTTTTTTTTACTACAGATTGGTTTGCAGCTGTTAAAACCTTTCCTTCGACTTTCTATATTCTGAGAATCTTCACAAAATAATTAAAGTTCTTAACTATCTACAACAAAACACACACACACATTCCCTCTCCCCTTTCCCCTCCCCCCTTCCCCTCCCCATCTCTCTCTCTCTCTCTCTCTCTCTCTCTCTCTCTCTCTCTCTCTCTCTCTCTCTTTCTCTCTCTCCCTCCCTCCCTCCCTCTCTCCCTTCCTCCCTCTCACTCATATAGTGGTTTGGCTGTGTCACCACTCAAAACTCATCTTGAATTTTAACTCCCACAGCTCCCATGCATCAATAGAAGAACCCCAGTGGGAGGTGACTGAATTATGGGGGCATGTCTTTCCAGCACTGTTCTCATGATAGTGAACGAGTCTCACAAGATCTGATAGTTTTAAAACACGAGTTTCTCTGTACAAGCTCTCTTTGCCTGCTGTCATCCATGTAAGATGTGACTTGCTCCTCCTTGCCTTCTGCCATGATTTTGAGGCCTCTCCAGCCATGTGAAACTGTTTAAGTCTAATAAACCTTTCTCTTTTGTGAATTGTCCAGTCTTGGGTATGTCTTTATCAGTAGCATGTATACAGACTAACACAGTAAACTGATACCAGTAGAGTGAGGAGTTGCTAAAATGATAGCTGAAAATTTGGAAGCAACTTTGGAACTGGATACCTGCAGAGGGTGGAACAGTTTGGAGGGCTCAGAAGAAGATGGGAAAATGTGAGAAAATTTATAATTCCCTTAAGACTTGTTTATGGCTTTGCCCAAAATGTCAATAATGATATGGACAATGAAATCCAGGCTGAGGTGGTCTCAGACGGAGATGAGGAATTTGCTGGAAACTGGAGCAAAAGTGACTCTTGCTATGTCTTATCAAAGAGACTGGTGGCATTTTGCCCCTGCCCTACAGACTTGTGGAACTTTGAACTTGAGAGAGATACTTTAGGGTATCTGCTAAAAGAAATTTCTAAGAAGCAAAGCATTCAAGAGGTGACTTGGGTGCTGTTAACGGCTTTCAGTTTTAAAAGGGAAGCAGAGAATAAAAGTTCAGCAAATTTGCAGCCTGATAATGCAACAGAAATGGAAATCTGACAAAGGACTTATATCCAGAATCTACAAAGAACTAAAACAGATTTACAAGAAAACAACAAACCCATTCAAAAGTGGGCAAAGGGTATGAACAGATACTTTTCAAAAGAAGACATATATGAGGCCAACAAACATATGAAAAAACGCTCATCATCACTGGTCATTAGAGGAATGCAAATCAAAACTACATTGAGATACCATCTCACACCAGTTAGAATGGCGATCACTAAAAAATCTGGAGACAACAGATGCTGGAGAGGATGTGGAGAAATAGGAACACTTTTACACTGTTGGTGGGAGTGTAAATTAGTTCAACCTTTGTGGAAGACAGTGTGGCAATTCCTCAAGGACCTAGAAATAGAAATTCCATTTGACCCAGCAATCCCATTACTGAGTATACATCCAAAGGATTATAAATCATTCTATTATAAAGACACACGCATACATATATTCACTGTAGCACTGTTTACAATAGCAAAGACCTGGAACCAACCCAAATGCCCATCTATGATAGACTGGACAGGGAAAATGTGGCACATATACACCATGGAATACTATGCAGGTATAATAAATGATGAGTTCGTGTCCTTTGTAGTGACATGGATGAACCTGGAAACCATTATTCTCAGCAAACTGACACAAGAACAGAAAATCAAACACCACATGTTCTCATTCATAGGGAGGTGTTGAACAATGAGAACATATGGAAACAGGGAGGGGAGCATCACACACTGAGGTCTGCTGGTGAAGGGACTAGGGGAGGGACAGTGGGGGGTAGGGAGTTGGGGAGGGATAACATGGGGAGAAATGCCAGATATAGGTGATGGGGATGGAGGCAGCAAACTACATTGCCATGTATGTACCTATGCAACAATCCTGCACATTCTTCCTATGTACCCCGGAACCTAAAGTACAATAAAATATGTGTGTGTGTGTGTGTGTGTGTGTGTATATACACACACACACACACACACACACACACACATTATATATATGAAGAAAAGAAAATCCCATTTTCTGAGGAGAAATTCAAGCCAGCTGTAGAAATCTGCATAGGGAACAAGGAGCCAATTGTTAATTCCACAGACAACAGAGGAAATGGCTCCAGGGCATGTCAAAGGTATTCATGGCAGCCCCTCCCATCACACACCTAGAGCCTAACAGGAAAAGGTGGTTTTATGGGCCAGACCCAAGGTCCCATGCTACATGTAACCTAGGGACTTGGTGCCTAGCATACCAGCCACTCCAGTTGTGGCTGAAAAGAGATAACATAGAGCTCGAGCCTAGCTTCAGAGGATGCAAGCCCAAGCCTTGGCAGCTTCCACATGGTTTGAGCCTGTGAGTGCACAGAAGTCAAGAATTCAGGTTTGGGAACCTCCACCTAGATTTGAAAGGATGTATGGAAATGCCTGGATGTCCAGGCAGAAGTTTGCTGCAGGGGCAGGGCTCTCATGGAGAACCTCTGCTAGGGCAGTGTGGAAGTGAAATGTGGCGTAGGAGCCCCCACACAGAGTCCCTACCCAGGGAATGCCTAGTGGAGCTGTATAGAGGGCCACCATCCTCCAGATTCCAGAATGGTATCTCCACCAACAGTTTACACCGTACACCTGGAAAAGCTACAGACACTCATGACCTGCCCAGGAAAGCAGCTGGGAGGGAAGACGTACCCTGCAAAGCCACAGGGATGGAGCTGTTCAAGACCATGGGAACCCACCTCTTGCATCAGCATTACCTGAGTATGAGACATGGCGTCAAAGGAGATCATTTTGGAGCTTTAAGATTGACTGCCCTGCTGGATTGCAGACTTGCATGGGGCCCATAGCCCCTTTGTTGTGGCTAATTTCTCCCGTTTGGAATAGCGGTATTTACCCAATGCCTGTACCCCCACTGTATCTAGGAAGTAGCTAACATGACTTTGATTTTACAGGCTCATAAGTGGAGGACACTTGCCTTGTCTCAGATAAAATGCTGGACTGTGGACTTCTGAGTTAATGCTGAAATTAGTTAAGGCTCTGTCGGACTGTTGGGAAGGCATGATTGTTTTTGAATTTGTGAAAATATGAGATTTGGGAGGGGCCTGGGGAAGAATAATATGGTTTAGTTATATCCCCACCCAAATCTCATCTTGAATTGTAACTCTACAGTTCGCACATGCTGTGGGAGGAACCCAGTGAGAGGTGACTGAATTATGGGGGTGGGTGTTTCCTATACTGTTCTTGTGATAGTGAGTGAGTTTCATGAGAGCTGATGGTTTTAAAAATGGGAGTTTCCCTGCACAAGCTTCCTTTGCCTGCTGCCATCCACAGAAGATGTGACTTGTTCTTCCTTGCCTTTTGCTGTGATTGTGAGGTCTCCCCAACCATATGCAACTGTAAATCCAATAAACACTTTTCTTTTGTAAATTGCCCAGTCTCAGGTATGTCTTTATAAGCAACATGAAAACTGACTAATATATATATATATACACACACACACACACACACACACACACACACACACCCACAACCCCTCTAGGAAGTTTTCATAGAAAATCTCCCTGGGGTGGGAAAGGATTAAAAGTAAGCAACTATCATTTAAGGAACATACCAACTACTATAATACGTAAGTATTATTACAGAATATCAATTATGATCAATGCCTGAGATAAATGTGCTCTAGGAACTACAGACATCAAGTTACTGTTGTTCAATTACCAAGCATTTTACATCTTAAAATCTACAGTCAGATATTATGTAAGATTTTTTAAATGTCTATTTTAAAAGAAATACTTGCCAAGTAATAAAACTCTTCATGTATATTTATTGTGTTAATATAACAATTTCTTCCTCTATAGAAAAAAAAAAAGAACTCAACCTGGTTTTTGTTTAAAAAATTTAAAAATATTTTCTTTCAGCAGGCATATGTGTGCATGGAAATACTGACACAAAACATTAAAATGACTAATGCTAGCCCCCTTTTCTAATAAGATATCTTCTAGAAGTCAAATTTTATTGGAGAGTCTTAAAATCTATTTAAAATAAAATGTGGCTCATCAGGAAACACTAAAATGACTAAAGTCTCTCTGTAACTTTTTAGTTGAAAGGTTAAGCCTGAGGGAAGCTATTATGGCAATAAACCACAGTGCTCTCAGCATTAAAAACAGAATTCACCAGGATATTTTTCAAACAAATATACTACTATATAGGTATCTTTAGAACAAATATTCTCTCCAATAAACTAAAATACTTTTTCAAAATTATGGTAAATTAAAGGGGTATATATTTCTTCTTACTCATGTATAAGGCAGAAAAAAGCAAAAACAAAACAAAATGCCTTCATTAATTCCATATACTAATTACTGAAATGGCTTCTTTTATTTTACATTAAGACAACTAAAAAGTAACTGCACAAACAACTTAGTTTTTCATAAACTTCAAAATATTTTATGCAAACACATAGTCTACTCTTTCCAAATCTCAGCTAGTCCCCTTTTCTAATAAGATATCTTATAGAAGTCAAATTTTATTGGAGAGTCTTAAATCTATTTTAAATAAAATGTGGCCCATCGTGAACTATTTAAAATTTAAAATAAAAATATTTTAATCAAAAATTAAAAATATAAAACTTGGTTTCTTATGTATCTTTTCATTATTTCCTCAATGAATTAATTTTACCTTTTAAATTAAACTTTAGATTTTTTTCAAGACAATCTGCCAACTTACAGTGTTAGTTGGATCTTCTTGTAAAATCCTATCATACAGCTGTATAGCATCATCATATCTATTTAAAAAAGAAAAAGAAACATCTACAATTATTACCTTAAAAATATGGTGACAAATAGTAAATATAGAAAAAAATTAAAGTGGCTTTAATCTTTTAATTTAAATGCATTTATAATTGTTATCAAAGTCTTCCCATCTTCATAGAACGCTAAATGTTTACTAAAGTCTTACTTTGTCAAGTAAGGCAAATCCTGTATATAGTACTTACAGAAAATTTCCTTAAAAAAAAAATTAATTCGTTTTGTCCAAAGTACAAAAGTAAAAACTAGTCACACAAGTTGAAGAGACAGAACAAGCATCAGAACCAGATGCACACATAGCAGAAGTATTGTCATAAACAGACTAGAAATTTAAAAGATGGTTATGTATTTTCATGGGAAAATAAACAAGATGTAAAAACAGGTGGGTAATGTAAACAGAGAGATGGAAACTCTAAAAAAAAAATCAAAATAAAATACTGGAAATCAAAACAATGTAAAAGAAATGATGAATGCCTTTGTTGGGCTTGGGTTTATTAGTAGATTGGACATAACCCAAAAGAGTTAGGAGGTTGAAGAATTGTCAATAAAAATTTTCGGAACTGAAATAAAAAGAGAAAAGCAACTAAATAATAGAACACAATATCCAAGAAGTGTGTACAATTACAAAAGATGTAACATATATGTAATGGGAATACTAGAAGGAAAAAAGAAATATTGGAAACGTTTGAAGTATTAATGGTTAAAAATTTGCCTAAACTTGTAATAGACAAAACTACAGATCAAGTAAGCTCTAAAAACATCAAGCAGAATAAACACCAAAAAATCTATACTTATGTATATCATATTCAAACTACAGAAAATCAAAAACAAAGAGAAAATTTTAAGAGATGCCAGCAGAAAAAAACACATTACTTATACAGGTACAAGGATAAGAACTGTATCAGACTTCTCTTCAGAAACCAGGTCAACAAGAAAAGAGTAGGGAAATATTTAAAGTGTTTGGAGAGAGAAGCAACTTAAAAATCTGTATCCTGAGAAACTGTCCATTAAATGTGAAAGAGAAATATACTCCAGACAAACAAAAATTAAAGCAATTTGCTGTTAGCAGACCTGCCCTGCAAGAAATGTTAAAAGCTGCTCTTCATATAAAAGGAAAATGATATTGGTCAGAACCTTTGACCTTCCTTTCCATAAAGGAAGGAAAAGCATTAGAAAATGTATAAAGGTAAAATAAAATTTTTATTTTTCTAATTCTTATTGATCAGATAACAGTTTGCTCAAAATAGTAATAGCAACAATGCATTTGGTGATTATGGTTTATGAATAAGTGAAATGAATGAAAGCAGTGTTACAAATGACGAAAGAGAGGAATTAAAAATACTCTGTTGTAAGGTATTTGCCCTGCCTGTCAATCAGTATAGTATTACTTGAAAGCTGATGTAGACAGTTGTAAATATATATTGCAATCTCTCAGACAGCTATTTAAAAATTTAAAAAGAAGTATAACTGATATACTGAGAGGCGGAAAAAATCGTATAAATTCTCAATTAAATCAGAGAAGGCAGAAAACAGAAATGACAAAAGAAAAAAATAACAAGAGCAATCAATAGAAAATAGTTATGAATATGGCAGATATTAAAACAACTATATTAATAACTTTAAATGTAAATAGTGTAAGTATACCAATAAAAAGAGACTATCAAAGTGGATTTACAAACATGACCCAACTAAATGCCGTCTACACAAAACCCTCTAAATACAAAGATATAATAGAATAAAAGTAAAGGGAAGGAGAAAGGTATGCCCTAATACTAATCAAAAGAAAGCTCAGGAGCTACATTTAAGCTGACTTCAGAGCAAGAAAAATTAGTAGGGATAAAGAGGGGCATTACATAATATAAAGGGCTCATACTCATGGAAAACACAAAAATCCTTAACAACAGAACATCAAAATATGTGAGGCAAAAACTAATAGAACTGCAAGGAGAAATAGATGAATTCGCTATTAAAGTTGGAGACTTCTGTATTCCTGTATTAGTAATTAATAGACATAATAGGCAGAATATAAGGACACAGTTGAACTGTACAGCACAATCAATTATCTAGAAGTACTGAAAATAAAATTTTAAAAAGCAGATGGCAAAAAGAAAAATACTCTGAAAGCACTCTTATGAATTAAAAATAATCACAAATTTAAAATGTTCCTATGTCTAGAAGACATTACTGAATATTGTTGAGACATTGGAGTAGGAAAAGAATTATTGAACAGTACACAAAAATCACTAACCATTAAAAAAAATGATAAACTGAATTTCATCAGAATTAAAAACTTCTTTACTTCACAAGGCATCATTTACAACATAAAATATTGAAGCAAGAAAAGAGGGAGAAATATTCACAGCACATATATCTGACAAAGGTTTTATCCAGAATATATAAAGAACTCCTACAAATCAGCAGTAAAAAAGGTGAAACAACCCAATTTTGTAAATGGGTAAAGAAGATATTTCAGAAAGAAGTTATTTGAATATCTAAGCAGCCATGACAAGGTTTTTAACCTCATTAATATTCAAAAAATGTAAATTAAAACCATAATGAGACAGTACTTCATACATTCTAGTATGTCTGAAATTTAAAAAAAAAATTAACAGCACCATGATTAACAGCCTCTGTGCCTGCCAGTTTTAATAGGATCACACTGTTGACAAGATTTGGGTACCTTTCCATGGCTTCAAATCTCATGCCTGTTAATCGCTTGACTCTGTGACTGCCAGGGAACTGTCTTCTTAGTTCTTGAAGACAAAACTGAAAAAATAAGAGTTGAGTAATAATTACATTATATATATTAAAAAGGCAATAAAGAATGGCGTATGTAGTCTTCAATGTTTTTTTCCTGAATAATTTCCTTAGTCTCCTCTAATAACATGAAGTGAAATTAATCAGTAACAAATAATGGATTGAAAGACCTATGACATTACAGTGAAGGCAACAATCAGTTCTCAGAAACCGGGCGCGGTGGCTCAAGCTTATAATCCCAGCACTTTGGGAGGCCGAGGCGGGTGGATCACAAGGTCGAGAGATCGAGACCATCCTGGTCAACATGGTGAAACCCCGTCTCTACTAAAAAAATACAAAAAATTAGCTGGGCATGGTGGCACGTGCCTGTAATCCCAGCTACTCAGGAGGCTGAGGCAGGAGAATTGCCTGAACCCAGGAGGCGGAGGTTGCGGTGAGCCGAGATCGCGCCATTGCACTCTAGCCTGGGTAACAAGAGCGAAACTCCGTCTCAAAAAAAAAAAAAAAAAAAAAAGAAACCAATCATGCTCTTAACCAGGAAAATGAGCAGATTATGATATCCACTAACAATTCTTCATGTACTACTATCACATTATTCCTCCTTAAAAACTACTTCTATGATGTGTTGGGCCCCTTCTTAAATGACAACAGTACTTGGTGTTTTCTTCGTAACTACAGCAGAAGCATTCTTCTGGTAAAAACTAAGTTTTTTAGTAGTCATCTCAAGCCCCTAGCAAATAATATTAACACTGTTTAATTTTGCCCTGTTGAAATTTTATATTAATCAATCATCCTTTCAATCAACATATCCTGATTTGGGATCAAAAAATACAGACATTAAATTGATGTAATACCAATTTCTTTGAACAAGTATCCATAATTGACTCATCAACCTGACTAACTAAATAATCAAATATTTATTGAGTATCTATGTTCTCAGAAACATATGAAGGATTCTAAGTTCTCAAAGTCCTAGAAATGTTAAAGATTATATAAATGGTCCATTGAAGCATCCTAATGCATGAGTGACCAAAACAATGCCATTAACTACTGAAGAAACTATTAACTGGTAATAAAATAAGTTTTAATATGATTTTGCAATATAACTTCAAAGTCTGTGGCTGAAATCTGCCACACTAAGAAAAATATTCAAGTTAGTCAAAAGCAAAGATATGTTCATTTATTTGACATCAAGCAAAATCATATTACTAGGTCGGTAAAACAAGCTAATTGTATCAATAATCTTAACCATTAAAAAGTTACTGCCTAATTGGATATCCTGCTTTATTAATCAATAGTATTATCTAATCTGACCTCCTACTTTATCAAGTAGTATTTGGCTAGTTAAATAAATAAATAAATAAAAACTTCTCTCAAGATGTAAAACTGTCACCTCTATGGATATTCAGTAGTATTATCTAATCTGACCTCCTACTTTATCAAGTGGTATTTGGCTATTTAAAAAAATAAATAAATAAAAACTTCTCTCAAGATGTAAAACTGCCACCTCTATGGATATTCAAAAGACTAAGTCTCATAGGTTCTGAAGATAATCCAACAAAGGTTTTGTGGAATGTTTTCACCACTAACAGCTCCTTTAGAATAACATGTATAGCCAACCCAACCTTGAAAAGGACAATACTAATTCAGATGTGAATTTTTTCAGGTATTTCTATTTTTTGTTTTTGTACATTTCCTTTCAGTTTAAATATGGAGGCAACATGAAGTGGTACTTAAGAATTCAAGATGATAAGAACAACAGAATAGACACCTCTGCTTCCTGATTTATAAAATGAATAATAACATCAAACACAAATCAAGAAATAATTATGAGGGCTCAATAAAAGCATGATGTAAAGCATTTAGCTTCACGACTCACGTAAGTCCAAAAATACAGCTATCATTATAGTGTTATTTTAAAAGCAGTATTAGTATTTGGGTTTTTTTTGAAGATGGAGTTTCACTCTGCTGGCCAGGCTGGTGTGCAATGGCACAATCTCAGCTCATTGCAACCTCTGCCTCCCAGGTTCAAGCGATTCTCCTGCCTCAGCCCCCCTGAGTAACTGGGTCTACAGGCATGCTACACCATACCTGGCTAATTTTTTTTTTTTTATTTTTAGTACAGATGGGGTTTCACCATGTTGGCCAGGCTGGTCTCAAACTCCTGACCTCAGGTGGTCCACGTCCCTCAGCCTTCCAAAGTGCTGGCATTACAGACAGATGTGAGCCACTGCATCTGGCCAAATATTATTAGTATTTTAAGTTACATTCTATATGTCAGAATTTTCTTATGTAAGATATGTTTATAGTATTGTGTAACAATATTGAACATTATAGTCTATGAAAGTCATTCAGTAAGACAAAAGAGATAATTGTTTCCAACTTTGCTTTTTATTTTAAACTCTATAAAACAGAGTAAGTCACCTACTAAGGAAATAAATTTCAGCAACTAAATTTTACCAGTAAAACTGGGATAGCAAATACCTGCTTCCCAGGACTATTCAAAAGATTTAAGACACTTTGCCCTCAAATATCTAGTTAGTTCCATTTACTGTTCAGAGCAGCACTCAAAACCAGCTATAGAAAGCATTCAGTATAAGCCATACATTAAGTCTTAACTATAGCATACAATTCATGAAGCAGATTAAATATATATTTCATTTAAATACCTACCAATGCCAAGTCATCCCGACCATAGTCTAGTGCAGCAATCATCACCTGTTCATATATGATCCAAACTAGATATACATACAGGGGGGAAAAGAAATCTGAATTTAATATTTAAAAAAATAACCCACATTGAAATTAATGAATTCTAGTTTCTGATATTTCCAGAGATTATTTAGAACTGAAAATTGATTTACTGTATTATCTCTGAAACTAAGAACACATTCTTATATGTTTCAACAGTGTAAAATATGTTAATATAATGTTAAAATCTCCAACTATTTAATGCTTTTACTGTTTTAAACGAGTCCTTACACAATACATTTTGCCTAGATATCTGGCAGCCCTGTGAGCTTTAAAACAAACTGCCATAGCTTTATTACTACCAGGCAATTATAAATCCTTCTCAAAATAAACTATCATTAAAATTCATGGGACAAGAAGTCACAGAGAAGATTAATACAACAACTATAAAAATCATAAATGAAAGAAGTTAAAAAGGCCAATAAATGAGACATGTACTGAACCTGAATAAAAGAACTTACTATCATCTCCAAGCTTAGAAGCATATTCATTAATTAATTCTTCTCCAACTTCCACAATTTGCTCACTATTTCGTGAGTTTTCTTCTCTCCATTTTCTCATTTTATCTCGCATTTCTGAAAAAAATTACATGACATTTAAGTGTGTATGTATACACAAACATATATATATATATACACACACACACACACACACACACAATAGACATCAAAAAATTGACAAGACAAAATCAGCTTTTTAGGTAAGGAAAATAAACTCACAATCATGTAGATGTCTATGGTATCTCAAAGTTGATAAGGTAAAAAATTAATTGAACAAGAGCAATGGATCCTTTAGAAAACCAAAATACCATTATGACTGGTATTACGACTACCTTTAGAAGTGATGAATGGGCCAGGCACAGGCACAGTGGGCTTGTGTCTGTAATCCCAGGATTTTCAGAGCCCAAGGCAGGAGAATCACTTGATCCAAGAGTTAAAGACCAGCCTAACCAACAGGGCAAAATCCTCTCTCTACTAAATAAACAAAAATTAGCCAGCTGTGGTGGCTCACACCTGTAATCCCAGCTACTCAGGAGACCGAGGCAGGAGAATCGCTTGAAACTGGGAGGCGGCCGGGCATGGTGGCTCACGCCTGTAATCCAAGCACTTTGGAGGCCAAGGCGGGCGGATCACCTGAGGTCGGGAGTTCAAGACCAGCCTGACCAACATGGTGAAACCCCGTCTTAAAAATAATAATAAAAAAAGAAAAAACAAAGAAACTGGGAGGCGGAGGTTGCAGTGAGCCAAGATCATGCCACTGCACTCCAGCCTCAGCAACAAAGCAAGACTCCATCTCAACAACAACAACAACAACAACAACAAAAAAAAAAAAAAAAAAAAAAAAAAAAAAAAAAAAAGAGGCATGGTAGCACCTGCCTGTGGTCCCAGCTACTCAGGAGGCTGATGTGAGAGGATCACTTGAACCTGGGAAGCTAAGGCTGCAGTGAGCTATAATTGTGCCATTGCACTCCCATCTGAGCAACACAGCAAGACCCCTATCTCTTAAAGGTTGAAAAGAAGTTCTGCAGGCAAATAAGAAAGTAATTTATTCTATACAGAAAGAACTACCGGTAATTCAGAATTAAATAAATACATTGGGATCAAGAAATGAATGTACAGGAAGTAAGAAGAGTGAGTTCCTTAGAAGACTTTTATTTCATACTAAAAAACTTTTAAGTTTTTTTTAAAGGTACAGGAGAACAACTAAAAATTGCTAAGCAAAAAAAAAAAAAAAAAAAAGCAACACGATCAGAGATGTCTGATAGGAAAACCATTCTCATGTAAAAGAAAAACACACTAGCATGTTGTTTATATGTCAATTTTTAAAATAAATTTGAAACAAACAAAAATAAAAACAAAACTCCACAGAAGATAAACTGGAAAGGAGTAAACAATTCAAAGAAAATAAATTGATTGTGTCAGTCCATATTCATGCTGCTGATAAAGACATACCGGAGACTGGGCAATCAACAAAAGAAAGGTTTAACTGGACTCACAGTTCCACGTGGCTGCAGAGGCCTCACAATGATGGTGGAAGGCAAGAAGGAGCAAGTCGCGCATCTTAGGTGGATGGCGGCAGGCAAAGAAAGAGAGCTTGTGCTGAGAAACTCCTATTTTTAAAACCAGTAGATCTTGTGAGACCCATTCACTATCATGTAAAGAGCATAGGAAAGACTTGGCCCCACGATTCAATCATCTCCCAGTGGGCCATCCAGATAACACAAGATGAGATTTGGGTGGGGACACAGAGCCAAACAATATTACTGGTCATGGAGGATGTACAGTCTACTGGAAAAAACATGGAGTTGATACACTAAGTTTAAATCTAACCTCCATTTTTTACATGACCTTACATAGCTTACTGAATCTGTACTTAGTTTCCAATATCTATGAATAGACATACTACTACCTTAAGCTAAGGGTTGAGAAGTTAGGATTACATAAAATATATGTAAAATTCTCAGCATGTCTGGTACATAGTAAGGACTCGATAACCAATAGTCCACCCTATGTCAATTAAATGGTCTAAGTGAAATACATGAATCAAGCAATTTGTAATAGAGAATGACAGGAAATTAAGTACAAAAAATAAGTATGAACTATTTTATTTCTTTTTTAAAAAAGAGTTAGGAGAGACACTGGAAGGAGCTATAAATAACAGCACAGTCAGCAGCTACAAGTCCTGCACAGTAGCATCATCTATGTGGGGAAAAAAAACTAAACAAAGCAATTAAGTAATATCTGATGGAATCAGCAATAGGAGAACCCCAAAGTGCCAATAAGCATTCACTAGAAAGCACCATAAGCCAAGATATGAAGAGCATCTAAAACAAGGAAGGGTTCTGCTCTCTCCAATCCCAGGTGAGTGTAAGCAGCCAGTGGTAACAAAGACTAAATGGGCTGGAGCAGTTGAGCTTCTTTCTGTGAACTCTCAAAATTGACTGGTCAAAGCTGTATATTATTTCAATATGAGCTAAAAGACATCAGAAAAGGATACAGGACATAAAATAACAACATAAATCTGAATTAGAAGACCTCAGAAATGAGGTCAGGACTCAGTATCAGAAATAAAGTAATTTCAAAAATTAAAACTAAATTAGAAGGGAACAGAAGTACAAATAAATGGAGACTAAAAAAAGAAGAAGTTAAATGTAGAAGAAATAAAAACATGAATAAGGATATCAAATATGACAAATATGAAGATAGGCAAAGAATATCGAAAATGCAGATAAAAGGAAGAAAATCCAGCAAATACACAGAATACTAAAAACCATAATTCAAGACAATTTTGATATAGAAAAAGATTTGAATGTATATATTGAAAGAACATCTCATGTACCTTAGAATATTAACACTGAAAGACTAAAACCAAGGAACATGCTAGTAAAATGTTCCTTTAAATTTTAAAGAGGGAAAACAATTCCTTAAGCAAGAGGAGGACTTGATTTGCAAGGGAAATAAATATAAACGAGCATTAAAATTTTCCACAGCAATGTTTTATGCCAAAAGAAAATGGATTCACATAGTTAAGATATTTAACAAAAGAAAGTACTAGCAAATATTTCCTACCCAGCAAAATTTAATTCCAAGTATAAAGCACACAAATTTTGAACATGCAAAAATGTTAGAGAATATTGTGCCATGTACTCTTCCTGAGGAATCTACCACAGAACAGGTTTCAAATAATCAAATAACTAGAAAGACATCAACATAAGGACTTGTGGTGATCATTAGTCACACAGTTATTTGTAAAACTAACAACAGATAATGGTTAAGCAGGAGAGAGCTTATGGTTTATGCTCCGACAATGCAGATACAAAACAACTATATAAAGAACTAGGTAGCAGAATCAGAGCTGCTATGGTTTGTTTGTGTCCTCTCCAAAATTCACATTGAAACTTAACCCCCAGTGCAACAGTATTAATAAGTGGAGCCTTTAGCGGGTGATTAGGCCATGAGGGCTCCACCCTCATAAATGGGGTTAGCACTCTTATAAAACAGATTAAAGGAGTGAGTTTGGCTCCAATTTTTACTCTTCTTTCCTTTCCACCACGTGATGATGACACAGTATTCATGGTGCCATCTTGGAAGCAGAGACTGAATCCTTAACAGTCATGGAACCTGCCAGCACCTTGATCTTCGACTTCCAGCCTCCAGACTGTTGAGAAATAAAATGTCTGTTCTCTATACATTACCCAGTCTCAGCTACTTTGTTAATAGCAGCACAAACAAACTAAAACTGAAATTGGAACCAGGAAGTGGAATTCTGCTATACAAGTATCCAAAATTGTGGAAACAGTTTTATTAATAGAACTAGATAAGACCTAGAAGCTAGATCATAAAGGGCTATTCTGATGAGGGCAAAAAAGAGAGTTGTAGAGAGAGCCTAAATCTTACAGATTACTGAAGTGGTCAGAATGCTGGTAGAATATGGACAGTAAAGTTTATTGTGAAGAGGTCTTGGACATAAATGAGGAGCATCTTATTGGAAACTGGAAGGAAAGGCCATTCTTGTTACCAACTGGCAAAGAACTTGAATGAATTGTGTCTATGTCCTAGTACCTTGTGGATGGCAGAATTAAGAGCACTGAACTAGGATAGGGGTCCCCAACCTTTTCGGCACCAGGGACCAGTCTTGTGGAAAACAATTTTTCCACAGACTAAGGGTAGGGGGAGGGGTGTCTCAGGATGATTCAACGGCATTACATTTATTATATACTTTATTTTGATTACTAATTATATATAATGAAATAATTATACAACTCACCATATCGTAGAATCAGTGGGAGCCCTGAGTTTGTTTTCCTGCAACTAGACAGTCCCATCTGGGGGTGACAGGAGATAGCAACAGATCATCAGGCATTAGATTCTCATGAGGAGTGTGCAATCTATATCTCTCACATGCACAGTTCACAATAGGGTCCACGTTCCTATGAGAATCTAAAGCCACGGCTAATGTAATGGGAGGTGGAGCTCAAGCAGTATCGTGAGCAATAGGGACCCACAACTGAGACTGGTATCAGTCCCTTGTCTGGGGGTTAGGGATCCCTGAACTAGGATACTTGGTGGAAGAAATCTCTAGGCAAAGTGTTAAGGGTTTCTCTTGACTGCTTATAACAGGCAAAGCAAAAAACAAAGAATTTAAAATTAAAAAATGAAGCAGAACTTCATTTACAAGATTTGTAAAATTCTCAATCTTGCCAAAAGGTAAAGAATTAAAAGGCATGTTTGGGAGAAAACACCAAGAATTTGGTCAAGCAAATGTTTGATAAGATTAACAGGAACTGATGGAAGCCAGGTGTTACTTATCTAGACAATAATAAAATAACGATTCTGAAGATAATTTAGAGATCTGTGAGGCTAGCACTTCCATCATAAGCTTAAAGTGCCAAGACCTTGAGAGGTTTCAAAGGAGGGGCCCAGAGCCTTCATGGGACCTCATGACTTACTGCAGGGCCACCTCAAAATTTTTCTCACCACATTCTGGCATGCTGTTTCTCAGCTGCCACAGCTGTGGTTCATGCTGGCCCAAGTTGCAGTCTGGGCTGCTGCTCCAGAACTCACAGGTGGGAAAC